ACAGCAACTACACAGAACATGTAATGGCTGAACCTATTCATATTCTGATTGGTTAATTGGCTTTTTACTCTGCTATTTATCTCAAGACTTGTACTTGTTTCTCCCTATATCGAATCACAAACAATGCCTAGAGATTATCTGTAATGCTATTTGGCTACTTCTTCCTTCAGTCCATTCTTCTTGCTTAAACAATAGAGACGACAAGCATCTACACTACTAAACAATGAAATTACCTATCATCACCTCCTATGCCTAGATTGAACTATACTGAAACACAGAGATGCTAAAAGTTCCATTTCTTTTGATTCCCTATAAACCGAGTGAGATTAGTGGCTGCAAACTGATCGTTTAGCAATCAAAAAACAAACGAATTTTACGAAATCGATGCATTAAAACTATGGAAGGAGAAATACATTGACGAATTGAACAAACTTACATGTACAAGAGAAGAAAGATAACCGATTCATCGCCGTTTACAAGCACACACGTTCTACAGAAACATGGTCATCGACCATTCTACACATAACATTTTTCATTCAGAACGGCCAAACGTCAGATCCACCGGGTTTCTCCACAAGAATCCGATTATACTCCGGCCTCGCCGTCTGCAAAAATAAATAACAAGTAATTAGCTACGATCGAAAGTCAAAATCGAGATGATACAAAGGAATTAGCTACGATCCTCCGGTGAATTTACCAGATCTTTGAAGATGACATAGGCTATAACGATGAAGAGAACGAACAAGATCTCAAACTCAGCCAATCGGAAGAAAGAGAACACTGAGTCAACAAACCGAGTCAGAAGAGAGTCGTCTCTCCTCATACCGACTCGATTCGTACCAGCACGCCGACCGATCATCCTCGAAAAATCCTCCCGCCGGCTAGGCTATAATCACGCACCACCGTCGCTCCTCTTTTGATCTCTCCCGAGTATTACCGGCGAGTTTGTTTATCCGCGACGAATAAAGAAACAGTTGGTTTCTCTTAAGTGCTCTTGTACCAGATAAATTCAAATGGGCCTTATATACATCATTAAAGCCCAATATAAAACAACAAGCTGTTCACCGTGCTATTGTAAAAACAGCACGTTAGATTAGAACATCAACGCCGTAAACGACAAGTTGTTCAATATGGTGGTGTAAACCAGACTGCACGTTTGTATACAGCGGAATATAGAAACGACAAGCTGTTCACCGCGGTACAAAACAGACTGTACGTTGTTTGTTTTATACATACAAACGTTTACTGCTTCTTATAGAATCTGAGCCGTTAAGAAGACGACGGCGAATCGGAGCAGTCGAAATTCGCCGGCTTCGTCCTGACTCCATTCGCAGGTTAGACTCCGATCTTCCTACTTTCCGATATCAACTCGCCGAGTTTCGTACTTGAATCCGTTTTCCGAGTACGAATTATACTGAAATTTTGGATCTTTTCTGGGTTCGGAATGAGGTTTATGCTCGAAAATTAGTGTTCGTTGTAGACGTAATGAAACTCCTTTAGGCTTGAAATTAGCGTTTCACGTTAGGAATCTTTGACCCAATTGGTAAATTTAGGGTTTTGATTTGGTGAAATGTATGTTTGACATTTTTCCCTGGAACAAATTATAGAGAATGGATTGGAAAGGGCAAAAAAATGGCGGAAGAGGTGGATGCAGATTCTGCTATTAGTCTTTAGTGGTGTTGCTTTCATTGCTGGATATGCAACTTCTTCGTTCCGGACAATGATGTTTATCTATGCCGGAGTTGTGCTTCTTACAGCTCTGATCACTGTCCCTAACTGGCCTTTCTTCAATCATCATCCCTTCAAGTGGTTAGATCCCAGCGAAGCCGAGAAGTATCCGAAACCCGAACTGACGACCGTAACTTCGAATAAGAAGAAAGAATAAGCATTAATTAGGTTTGATTCTTTGAGCTTCTTGTTCTTGTGGAGTTCCAAGATTGTCTGATATGGCTATGGTCTTTTTGAACTTTGATTGGTTTGTTGTCTCTAAATTCTCAATCTTTACCTGAATAGGCTCTTTCAATGTAATGATGATCTTCTAAATTGCAAACCTCGGTTAAAGAAAAGCTTATCGGATTTAGTTATCTTCTATGTTCATTATTGTGCTAAGCAAGATGTTCTTTTGGTTCCTGCTCGCTAAGCAGTTCAAGTAGGGATTAACCATAGCAATAGCTTTCTTCTTATGTGCGCTGCTGTCGAATGTTTTAACTCTTGAAGATCGGTTGCAGGTCCATGTCGAGGGTCGTTATATTTAAGTTTTTCTTTGAAGCTGAATCATCTTTGATTTGGATTTTTTTATCATCAGAAAGTTGCATTTTGAAGTTTGCAACTTTGGAAGCTTAAAATGCTGAGTTAAATTGTTCACTTAAAGCATCATGTTCTCTGTGTTGCATTAGTTCATAACAGGATTCATCACATTTAGCAGCGTTATTGTTTGATTAGCAGACATATTTATTCATGCACTGGATCTTGGTCAACAGTCGCAGTCGCGATAACTTGATAACAACATGGAATCGATATTCATTCTAGTTATCGATATAGATATTTTTTTAAGTATAGCTCGTTTCGCTTCTCTCTTTGTTCTCTCTTTGACCTTATCAAGTCTTCCCAATCCGGTATCAAACTCGAAGTGGGTCATAAGAAGCATCGTTTTCAAGTCATCAAAGAGATGACAAGAAAAAGTTAAGATAGAAGCTA